TCTCTCTCTCTCTCTCTCTCTCTCTCTCTCTGCAGAGGGCACAGAACCGCCCATTTGCCTCATTCACTTGAGGTTGTAATAAGGAGCTCGGTCTTCCGCGGAGGGGGAAGAGAGGAGAAATGGGGAGAGCTCCGTGCTGCGACAAGGCCAACGTGAAAAGGGGCCCCTGGTCCCCCGAGGAAGACGCCGCCCTCAAGAGCTACATCCACCACCATGGCACCGGTGGCAACTGGATCGCTTTGCCCCACAAAGCGGGTCAGCCCTTGCTCATCCTTCTCTTATTCTGCAACCGTGTTCTTTGCTCAGTTTCCACCTCTCGAGTTATTCTCTCTCCCAATTCCTTGTCGTATGCAGGCCTCAAGCGTTGTGGCAAGAGCTGCCGATTAAGGTGGCTCAATTACCTCAGGCCGGACATCAAGCATGGAGGCTTCACGGAGGAAGAAGACGCCATCATCTGCACTCTCTATGACAGACTTGGAAGCAGGTTCCAAGTGTTTCATCTTTGCAACCATGTCCAGTTCAACAACTGCACTGTGGTGTTCTAAGTTTGACTGTGATCAGGTGGTCTGTCATTGCCTCGCATCTGCCCGGAAGAACCGACAATGATGTGAAGAATTACTGGAACACCAAGCTCAAGAAGAAGCTGATGGCAAAGCAGGCAATCATCTCAGCTCACAACACAGCTCCACCTCCTCCTCTCCTCCCGACAGTCATCGAATCCGATGCTTACAGCAGCAACAAGCTTTCCTCGATGCCTCTTCAGCAGCCTCTGAAGGTTGTGCCGTTTCCCATGACGAGCTTGATCGAACAGCCTCATGACTCGAGCCTCAGTTCTTCCATTTCCGTCCAACACAACAGCAGCAGCAACAGTGACTCGCTCCTCGCGGCAATGATTGGGTTTGGAGACGCCGGCGACTTACTCAGCGACTCATCGAACATGTGGGCTACGGCTGGCCAAACTCTCACATACTCATAGCAAAGCCATCAACCGATAGCCAGGGAGACATGATGGAACTGAGAGGACAGACTGCCAGTTCTTAGTTTGGCTGCTTCGATCTTTAAACTTGGGGAAACCTCAACTAATGCTTATAGTTTGCATCAAATCTGAGTTTTAAGAATGGTGATGAGACTGCAAATGCGTGCATGCTTCTTTCACTTGTCTGACCTACTGCGCAGATCAGGTCATGAAAGTTGCATGGCTTCTACAGCAACAAGATTCCCTCTTTAATGCTGCCTGTCGTTTACTATGACCACTTGTTGTTTGTTGATTCAGCCAATGTTTTGGTATGCCTATCCTATACATTTTGTTGATCATCTCTTCTCCTCTTTTCATAGGACTGTGGGGCTGTGACTATGACACAGTGTCAACTTTGGTGAAGGTTCACTCATGCCTCTCACATGTTTTGATCAAAACACCCAAACATAGACATGCATCCAGTTCTTATCTAACAGTCCAAATGAGGCTAGCAACCTCAAACCTCCCTACATATATGGAGATCATGTGGAGTACATCTCTCTCTCTCTCTCTCTCTCTCTTCGATTCTCTGAATGATTGACTGAGATTATGGAACTAATGTATATCCATATCTGATTGATGGAGACTTGAGGTATGATTTCAAATACTGATCAAAATAGTATATACTAATTAATTAGTACTTATCGGTCCGATCAAAGACCAATAGTAGACTCTAATTTTTTTTATTGATATCGGACGATAAAGATCGTATATTATCCAAGACACTAGTACTAGTGATCCTAACTTAAATCACTGGTGTAATTAGGTTAAGATTATGACTTGGTTGACTTTGCCAAACATCAATGCTCAGTGCCTAAATTCCACACAAAAGTGTTTGACAATCCATTGCATCAGCTCATATTACACATTTCAGATCAATACAAGAAAGTACTGGCTTTTGTTTTTTTGTGTCTGTGAATCTTGAGAGATGACATGCAACTTTTTTCTTTCATTCACAAGTGGAAATAAGGTTAAAGAATGATACAAGTATTAGGTTGGATATCTGTATCAGACTTAATATAAATCATGTCCAGTAGCATAGCATAGCATAGCATGGTTTAACAAGTTGCTTTACAAGTGCTCGGAATTGTGCTTTGTCATTCATGTATGATGATAAATCTCACAGTAGTGCTGCTCGGAAGAAGGAAGCTGAACTCCTTTATTGCGTCTTCTTCCTCTTTTCTTAAGTTGATTAGAACAGTCAATTTAGCTTCTCAAATGAATTAGCAATGTGGGGGAAATAAATCAATTGCCACACCACCATCCAATTAAAACGGAAATTTTCTTGTCTAAATAGAATATGTTTGTCACCCTCTACACTCGGAATATCTTTCATATAGAAAAAATCTATTCTTTTTAACTTTTGTATATTATTTTATCTAACTTAGTATTGAAAGAGAATCAGTGTCTTATTATTTTTAATGTACTCATTTATTTTGATAGTTGCATCACGATACTCCGTCCCCGATCTCTTTCACCTTATCATATCATGTAAGGAATCAACCATTATGCTTTATCAAGATTCATGATAAAATATATAATAAGGTCAATCCTAAATTCCCTTGGATATTCATGTCGTTTTTATAGGTTGACTATAATAAAATCGACCTAAATTGGCCCTCATGATAGAAGAAAGAATATTCACTTAGTGTCCACTTAAATATTGGAAGTCATAGAGTTGACATTCATCAACTCATAAGTTAAGTTGAGTCTTACTACATAACATTCTATCGAGAGACAATTTCAAGTCAGCGGAGTGATGATCAAATATAAGTTATTACTTGAGATTTTTCAAAGAGATGTGTTCCACGTAATAAATGATCTGTATCTTCTTTCCCTGAAAATATCTATTACTTGTATCCATAGGATGTAAGACCTGTTGATGAGATTGGAGTTCCTTTCATAATTCCACTGATATTGATGAGATGGAAGACCATGCTTTCCTTTGGTGAAGTCAATGATCTTAACTTTTGATTTTTTTTTTTGGTTTATTATGCATGATTTAATTCATGGAGTAAAGATGAAATATGCTTACCATATGTTTTATGTCACTGTTTATCTCCTTGCAGAGGTGATAGAGGAGATATGATAGTCAAACAAGAACAAAGAACATGACAGTCAATCCAAGTGTTATGAAATAAATTATTCACAAGATCTTTATTTTTTTAATTTATTGATATTTTCTGCCAGTAAACCCCAAATTAGTCAGGCAAAAATATGGTGAAAATAAATTATCTAATAAATAGTTTTTCCCGTGTCTTCATCAACCTAATGCCCCAAAAAAAAAGACGACAAAACAATTATTAAGCTATGACTGAAAGCTTCCTGTTATCATATGTTTTCTGCAATCCTTAATTCCAATTTAATTATTTAATTATTTATGATATTACAATGAATCTCATCAATTTAAAAACTTTGTGAATAATAATTAATAAATTAAACTGAAAACACTGATATACATATCCATAATAGAGTATCCATTAATAGAATAAATAAATATAATATATTAAAAACAAAGATAATAATTTTTTTGTATTTATAATTATAAATTTATGTTTATTATATGTACTCCTTCAAAACATACACATATCATCATTATAGTTAATCTCCATTAACTATCAAAATTTAACTATTATTTGAGATTATAATTTAAATCAATATTCTCTAAGAATTGATCATGATGCTAAAACTATGCATTTTATATGTTTATACACTTTGCTAATTAGTTAACATTACTAATGTTAATTATGATTAGTAATGTTTAATTTTTAGATCGATATTAAAAACAGTGACACGCTGAGAGGATCTTAATATTTCATGTGATATAAGCTATATCAAAATTTTTAATGATAATATGTTTCTTCTAATTATATATATTGAAAATAAAAATGATACTGATAAAATTTACATAAATATGTCACGTGCGAAAACGCGGTTTCTCTGGTTCGAAGGAAGAGTGTCTAAAAGGGGCTTCGGACCTCACGAATTTGAAAGAATTCCGATCTCCATTCGCATTCTATTCAACGTGATCTCTCGATACTCTCTGTCGCTCTCGGCTATCGATCTCAATGGTACGCTTTCATTCCTTCTCTTTCTCTCAAGTAAATCCATCACGTTTCGCGAGCAATATTGTCCCCCCGATTTGGGGGCGAACCAGGATCTTCCATCGATCCCTAACTCTCCGATTAGGGTTTCTGATACTGTCTCTGAAACTAACCCGAGTCCCTGCGGCTACTCAGATTAGAATGTTTCGTTGTTTCAGCATACTGACCCTCTTTTAGGTAGGAATCAGATTTACACTGGTTTTGATGCTTGAAGAAACACTACACTTTTGAGTCCCCTTTCTAGTTAAAAAAAAAGGCTTCATCTTCCAGTAGGAGGCATGAGATTACATTGATTTCGATGCTTAAAGAAACACGTAGGAGTTGGCTTTCTAGCACACACAAAAAAAAAAATCATCTTCTTCCTATGGGAAAGAAAATAACAAAAATTCTAGCTTCTGTCTGTAGGAATCCTTTGTTTCTGGGTATTTCATATTTACCTGCAGCCAAGAATTTAGCTTGAAGACGCATCCATCGAGCAAGAAAAAGTCACACTAACATCTATGGGAACTGCAATGACAAGGTGAGCGAGCTTTTATATCCTTTGGCCAACAACTTTTTGTAAGTTTCAAGTTATTTATTTTAAGGTGTTTTGACATGCTTTATATAATAGAAGCCAGTGTTTACTTAATGGAAACACTACCTCTCTGTGGTAAACAAATTTTATTTATTCTACCGTTCATTTGGTCTGTTTCATAGTCCACATTCACTCTCTTTCAAGGAATATTATCCGTTTGCTACTATTTGATGTCAGAGTATGTAATGCCAAGGTGTATCTTGCGCAAGTAAAGAAGAGGAAGCATGCATGTAGATCTCTATCCAAATTTTCCTGTAGATAAACAACTTGGGGAATGCTAGCAACAATAATTGGAGAACAAGTAGAAAGGCTATGCTATTTGACTGTCTACCCAAAGAAACTTGAGAAGACTTTTGCCAATAGATTTGTGATAATTAAACCACTTCAAAATCACCATGGTTGTACGTTACATTGCTACATGATTCCATAGATTATTTGGTGCTAAGTTCATACTGATCATGATCTAGATGCACTTATTTGATAAATGCACACAGCGTAAAGATTTGTTGCTTCTCCACTGGAAGACAATATATCACTTAATTATGCTGGCACACGCTGTCAACAATGTAAGCACAAGATAATGGTTTGCCGACGCTATTAAATAACCTTCATATTAACTAGAACCATTTTCCAAGCATTTTACCTCGCCAGATGTCTGTTTGGGTTGCTCCTCTCTTATATTTGCCTCCTCGACATCTTTCGAACTCAAAAAGCTTGGCTGATTGGTTGATGACAGCAGCCTTGCCCACATTCTGTCAGTGATGACGACCTTATTTCGTTTTTCTGTCACCCTCTGCAGTTGTAGAAAGATTTTATCAACAAATGAGAAGCTAATGCCAATATCAGCAATTGATTAGAGATTCTTATGATGTTTTTAATTTCTCTTCTAAAGTACATTTGGCATACGATTTTCAAATCTCCAAAATCACATAAAAGATTTCAACTATACAAAAATATGTACATCATTCTTTTATGAACAAAATAAAATCTTCACTTTAGCTAGATAATCAAGGTGCATTTGTGCATATGGGTCATACATGAACATGCATATGCAGTGTGGCTTGTACTGATAATATAAATCAACTCCCAATATAATTCTTCTAATGACAGTCAAAAAGATCACATAACTTTCTCTAAATGCACTAGACCAATATAACAAATCAGAAAATATCTCATACACTAACGTATTCGTAAAGAATGTAAGGATATAAAGTAGACCTCAAGACCACTAGCCTCTGAAATTTATTCTTCTAGTCTCATAATTGTAAATATCGTATATTGCTTGAATGTAATTTGGAAGACAAATTCGGTTTCTTCAATTTACATTACTCTAGAAGCTCCTCAGATTATGCATAGGCAAACAAGTAATTCCACATTGGAAATGAAAGAACAACTGGATTTGATAGTCACAGTGAAGATTATGCAATCAGAACATGATTTTACCTTGACTTAGATTTTCAAATTAACTAAGGATGTCAAAAGTAATGCTTTATTATTCATTAAGATAAATGATTTGCACAAAAAATTTCTCCATGGAATTTGACATTAAATTAAGGTGAAATTTCCAGTCCTCAATATAGAATTGACCGGAAACCCTGATTTCAGCAAGTGAGCTTTGATCACATAGTTATAATACTTACGTCAAATGGTATGTAAGTCTGTCTGCCATTAACTAGCCCCACAGTGAAACCTGTGTATCCAGCCATTGCCCCATGGACTGCACTTTGTGCCAGAAGCGTGCAATAGACGTTATCAGATGCATTGCTTGGAATTGCACGAATCATATATGTCGGATCTGCATTTCAAAATACAAACATTTACGTCTAACAATTTAAAGAGGATCTGATTGGGTCAAGTCTGCCAACATACCTATATATTTAAGATTTATTGTCATCTTTTGTCTGCTTGTGAAGTAATTCTGTATGGTAGAAAGGAAAAAAAAAAAGAGGGAAAACAATTAGTATGGTGGACATATGGATAATTTGTTCTTCAAATAGCTGCAGATGAATCATACTGAATCATTTGCTGCTAGGTGATTAAGTCCAATCTAGCAATATCCGTATTGAACAAGCAATAAATCGACAAGGAAATTGATCTGAATATGAAAATTCACCTTTATTCCCTGGGACAACCAAAGCCCAACATCCAGAAGCAGCTTGTTTCCAGAAGCATCTTCGTGGTCCATTGACTTCATACTTTCAGCAATAAGATCTTGTCCTGCTCCCTCGGCAACAACAATTACCATGTGTCCATTTTCTTTAAGCCTCTTCTCTATGTATTCATAAAGACCACCTTTTCCTTCCAGATAAAATCGTGATTCTGGAATTAAGCAACAGTCCTAAACGAAAGAAAAAAGAAGCACCAGAAAGGCAAATGACATGTCATTTCTTAAATCATTCCATAGCTGAAATTCCAAAACCAAATGCCTCAGCCAGTGGATAAAAGCATCTACAATAAACTAATACAAAAAAACTTAAGTACGATGCTTACGACATCTCGGCTCGCTAGAGTAGCATACATTGCAATGAACCCTGCATCATTAAATATTTTAGGCTTATAATGCACATTGTACAATGAAGTCTTAAATTAATCAACATAATCCAAGTCTACATAAAATTCAACAGTTCATGTTAGCTGAGACCGTATTTTGAATCATATTAAAGTTTTCATGGCTGTTTTCTGTTCTGGAGAAAACTTTGCCGGCATGCACATATTTGGCAAACGTTTGAGACATGGAGCCAGATTAATCAAATGTCAACATGAAGAGATAGTGCCTCTAGTAGATCTCTAATTAGGTTATCTATTAAATAGAGTTGAGTATCTACAATCTTTATTTTTCATGTTAATCATCCCATAAGGTCCAACAATTTAAGAATAAATTATATCACATATCACTATCGGATGTTATTTTTACCAAGAAAAGAGCTATACCACTGTAGCGACCCATTAGTTTCACTACGCCTATACCATTCTCAACACTCTCAGCCTCCACATGTGCAGCATTAATTGCCCGCTGGGCTTCTTCGACAGCAGTATCAAAGCCGAAGGACTTGTCAATAACCTAAATCACCACTTCAAATGTAACAATCATAAAGTGGTTAACAAGACAAAGAAGCTCATTGAAGTTTACAACAAATGCTGTACCGCAATGTCATTATCTATTGTCTTAGGGATCCCAGCAACAGCAACTTTAAGGCGACGCCTTCGGATTTCCTGCAAGTTACAATCAAGTAGAACTTGTCAGATAGCTTATCATCTTCTAACATTCCAGAAATGGAGATCTTAATTCCCTAAGACAAGATCGAATAAAATTCTAAAATGAGAAGGTAGATTGTATTAGTTCTTCAAGCACTAGAAAGGAAGAGCTTTGGAGGAAGAGTAGAAATGGAAATCCAAGTTTGCATCAGAAGTGGTATCATCAGCGAAAGCAAGGGAGGGAGCAAATAGTAATTTACCCTGGACGACTATGGATAAAGTTGCCTCCGTAAATTTCCATCATGAAAAGTAAATATCTTCATGTGTTGTCAGATAGCATTAACAGATAGGTGACATTAAACTTGTGTGGAGCAAGTTTTTGGGTTATACCTCAAAAATAGCAGCAGCTCCTTTTTGGGTTCCATCTCCTCCTATGATGTAAACCTGGAGTGTGAATATTTCTTCATAAATCAATCTAAAAACTAATATTGGTTGAACTTGCAGAAAACAAATAGAATTCACAATACAAAGCAACACATTCTTTTACCTGATTTATCCCACGATCCTGAATGTTGTCAACTATCTTCAAGGTATCATGACCTCCTCGTGATGTGCTGAGGATTGTGCCGCCACGTTTATGAATATCATTTACACTCTTTGGTGTCAACTGTATGGTGTTGCGAGCATAGAATCCCCTGTATCCACCCTATAAATGCCAATAAACAAGTCATTACAGCAATATCATATATGCAAAAGACCAGACAGCCAATCCAAAATCTACATTCTCAATTGACAAAACATCATACTTTTCTACAGCATAAGCCATTAACCATATTGACCTCCATTCTAGTGTCAAAACAAAGAATTTGTACCATGGCCGAGACCATGGTTTCAACTCTCAAATATTGGTTGGGATGGGGCATATCCTCCAGTATTTACTGACTGATACCATATATTTTTGGGTATCCTATCAGGTATACCGATACCATATCAGTCTAGTAGATTACCCAAACTGGCTGGTATTGGATCAAGATTTAAATCCTTAGACAGGACAACATCCTTCTTGCGTCATCTGCCAAACTCGACCTATTTTTAATCAACGTAACATATATGAGCCCTGTTTGCTTTAAATTATCAGCCTACATTAAAAAACAGGCATCAAATGGTGAAGTTACTGTCTACAAGTTCCAAACTTGAAACATATAGTATTATGATGCAGAATCATCTTAGGTATACCTCATTACTTGAAGGATTGCTGTTATTAGTGATGTGCAGACCAAGTAAAAAACATTGATCTTAGTTAACAATTTAAGTACCATAAATGACGGAGTATACAGACAAAGATCCACAAAGGACTCAACTCCCATATTGTCTTTAGATGTCATCATCATATATATTAATTTTGCCTCCTGATGCTTGAAAATATTGTCCCTGCTACCTGATAGATGAGATGTTTTTCAGGAAAAGAATGTACACCTAGTCAGCTACATTATTTGGAGATGCAGGACATACGGACGATACAAATGTGATTTCTCAAAGTGACCGTGGAGATATCTTAGATATCTTTGTATCAGTAATTCCAGCATTTAACTGCTCCTAGTCTCCATGATTGTCTAGTGTGAAATTTCAAGTACTCTCCATAGAAGTTACAGATATTTATGATGTTTCAAAGGAAAAAAAGATGTTCATTAAAGATGCTTGATCATGATAAATCAATCTAACTAAATTTAACTAGTGACAAAATCAGGAAACCTCTACAGGTGGAAGATTTTTAAGGTGGGCACTGACCTTTATAGTCATTCCTAAATGGAGACGCAGCTAGGAGTCGTTCCTAAATGGAGACACAGCTAGGAGTCGTTCCTAAATGGAGATACAACTAGGACAGAAAGTAGCCCCCCTAGTAAATTCTACAATGAAGAAGTTGCCATGGCACACAAATAACATTGCAGACTATATCTGAAGGTTTTCCAAGTTCCTAGGAAACATTTTCTCCTTGATGATCATAAATAGGAGATAGACAAAAACGGAACCAATTAGCTAGTAATAGTCAGGACAGGCTTTAGCATGTTGTAGATCATGACGGTACACAGGAATTCCCCCATCTTTTCATATCCAGTCCCTTAACTGTGAATAAATTTACAAGAATGTGCAGTCTAAGTACCTAGACAACAGATTTTTCAACCAAACTCATCATACAGTCAGCTGTAGACAGTATTATTGAGATAGTCTCACAGAAACATGTATCTATCCTTGAGAATTAAAGGTAGAAAAAGAATCCAAGCAATTGTCCAGAAGTAGCTTAGACATAGGCTCCAATTTTGTGGTATGCAACACATAAATACTAAAATTATTAGATAAAAGTTAATGCCTAGATGATGAAGAAATTGCGGATGCAGCCTTGTTCAATCCATCTCTAAATGTAATACACTGCCAAGTTCATTTTCAATGCAACAAGTCCAACAAAAGCACCAACAGAAAGCACATAAATGAAGTACATGCAGCATTATGCAAAAGACCTAAGAAAGCAAGCTCCAAATGTAGTTCAGAAATTTTCCCTGACCTCGATACCAAGAACTTTGTTGACATCGTACATGTAGGACAAGCCACATATTATTTCACGGATCACTGTGTTAAGCCCAGGGCAAAGACCTCCGCATGTTACAATGCATGCATTCACGTCATCTGATTCAAAGTACACCTGAACAAATACAAGGTAACCTGTCAATTAAAAAGTGTTCAAACCAATTTATGATCGATACATTCAGGCGTACAACCAATACAGTATATACCCTTTGGCGGGGTCCAGCACGTCTAAAATGGATCCCTCTTGGGCTGTCTTTCTGGACGACAACCTATAGACCACACAAACCCAATTTTAGTCATTAAAGAATAAAGACCATAGAAATACCAGTAACATCTTTTCCACTTGCATCTAAGACACTCCTCACCTTCTTTGGAACAGTATCATCTTGATTAACGAAGAACTGCCTGCAAAGGATACAAGGAGTTTAATGGATCAAGAAGTATGACATTAACAAAAATATCATTAGCTGTTGGAAACTCATGTAAGGCATTAGGAGACAGGGTGAATGAGCATACTTGACAACTGAATATGCTGGATTTTCTTTGATTGGATTTGGGTATGTCTGTAGCAAAAGCATCATCACAGCACTTGAGATTTAACTTCCAAGAGACTAATTTCAAAGGTGACGAACACATAAAACTGACAACATTAAGAGGTCCTGATGTGATAAAGATCCATATTAAGTTCCTCCTCCGGATCTCAGATCTTGTTCTTCTCTCTCCTCCATTTCTTGATTATTGTAATGGCAGCCCCCAGATGCTAGATCAAGGGCCTTCACGAGTAATCACTCTGACCTGAGACTAGGATCTGATCTAGATGGTTCCGATCTAGCGGGATGTCTCGATAGAGAACACCTGACGCCAAGATCAAGCAACAACTTGCTTGCCCTGTAAAGATCACGCACTCCTTTGACCAGAAACCGGGGTTCCCCTTCATCCCCAGATCCGAACCCATAAAAGGACCAAAGAAGAGTGAACTCACCGGGAGATCGGCGAGGTAGTCGGTGAGGTGGGGCACGTCCTCAAGGACGTAGCCGAACTCTCCCTTGACGATCTTGATCGTGGATCCCGGGTCGGTACCCATGACCAGCGACGCAGCGGCAGGCCCGGGCGGAGGATCGGCAGAGGACGGCGAGGTGGCACGGACGCGGGGGAGCGAGTTGCGGAGCTCGAAGTCGATGATCTGGCGGCCGGTGGGCGACTGGGGCTCGTGGGACTCCGCGGCGGCGTCGATGCGGGTGTCAGCGGCCTCGGACTGCATCGCGGCAACTGCTGGACAAAATGGCGAGTGAGGAAGACGGGAGGCTTTGGAAGGAAGCCATCGTTGCCATGCGTACGATATGTCTATATAACAATATTCAACAGTGGTGGAATTCCCTCGATGTCGTCACGGAATGGAAAAGATGGAGTCGCTTTTGCTTTATATATTGGGAGTTCTCGTGACGCTGGCCGGAGAGGAGAAGGGGGAGGCGACGAGAGTGGAGAGAGAGAGAGAGATGTCGTCCTATTTAAAAGGTCTTCTAATAGTTAGACCTGGAAACCACTCGGAAATCACCACTTTGCCACTTCGTGCGAATCGTTTGACCCCGCCGCTGATTCGTCCGGGCTTCCCGGCCACGACCGATGGTAGTTAGCCACGTCATCAGAAGATGGATGCGGTGGTGGGAGTCCATTGGGACCCATTGTTTGCTGGGTCGCAGAAGGTTTACGTCTGATCCGCATCGGGGCCCACATTTGCGCCCGTCTTCGTAGAGGGAGAAACGCGAGCATCCAAGAAAAGGTGGGCGTGTAAAATGCTTCGTGTTTTTGGCTTTTCGAACACTAAAAAGCAACTAATATTATTACTCGAAAATTTGAGTAAAATAACAGCCAACGCTCAAAATAGGAAACAGTCTTCTCAAGTGAATTTAAATCTTCGAAAGAATTGTAACAAAAACCTTATATTCCTCAAAATATTTTTATCTTCCATGTTAGATTAGAGGACTTACTTAATGAAAATATCTTCAGCATCTTGACAAAATTTATCTCGATCTCAATAAATTAAGAAACTTAATATTGAGAGTCATCATAGTTGTTATTGCTATAGGAAATTGATTTTTCTCTTAACGAGTATAATTTAGTCATTCCAATTGTACTCATTCCAATCAAAAAGGAATATTAGTTGTTCCAATGGAATTTGGTGCTCTCGCCCATAGTAACCAAGCCGCTAGTTTAGTTTATTTGATAGATTAAATAAACAATGTTCATTATAGATAGGACATGGGTTAATGATTAGAATAAAGATGCAAAGCATCATTAAAGTCTTCTCCTTTGAGAATTTTCTATAGTTGAGTCTTGCAACTGTAATGATCACATGAGCTTAAATTTGTACTTCAACATCATCCTAGTTTTAAGCATGTCCATTTATATATCAATCCTTTCCAAATTTGAAGATTGCATATTAGACCCTTTATTTTTAATAGTACATTAATATATTTCACATATATAGATATGTCACTTCAAAATTTTAAACCTTTCATATATGTCGTCATGCAAATTGCTTCATCTTAAGATTATTCTTATAGATTTCTCATCTTTTAAGGGTATTTATTATTTAAAAAATATTTTCCTCATCACTCTACAAATAAAATTCTCTTAGATGTGATTTGGGATTTGAGAAATTATTTTTTACCCTTATATTAGAATTAATAGACTTTATAATTTAAAAAATTTTAATGCCTAAAGCATTAGCTTAAATCTTTTTTTATAATGGTTGAAATTATTCATCATTATTTATCATAATATTAATTTTCTACTTAACATGACCCATAATTATATTTTTATAAGAGTCCAACGATAATTACATTTTTGACTGGACTCATAAAATTCTTGGAAATAAAAGGATTTTTTTCTCTGGAAACACCCAAAATTTGAGATTGTCTCCAAGAAATTATCTAACATTTATATATTTAATTATTTAATCTCCTCCCACAAAAGAAAAGCAAAAAAAATAAAGGCGTACAGCACACGGCCACGTCTCAACCCTTGAGCAATACTTGTTCGATCCGCTTCACGTACCCACGCTCATAGCAGCCCTGTGATTGAAGGAACAGTTTTACAATTGCGGGACCCGCACTGTGGAGTCGTCCCTAGACGGGTACAGTAACGCACTAATTAACCCGTCCCTGCGGCAACGGAGACCTTCCATCGGCCGTCCATCTGGTTGACCTGCTCCGTCCGAGATCCAATCGAGACCGTCGGTGGTCTAGGTCATTCCGTAATATTTGCTAAATCACCTGGCGAACGATAAAATAGCGGCACCGTTGAAGCCCGACTTGAAGGGGGCACGCTTCAATCGAGTTGAACGGGTGGCGGGGCGGCACTTGAGATCCGCTCTCCTCTCCCCTCCCCTATTTAACCCGTCCTCCCTCGCGCCACACCAACTTTAAAGCGCGGGCGACCGAGAGACGGACCGAAGGGGAAAGCAGAAGCGGAGGAAGAAGAAGAAGAAGCGAGACGATGTCGTGGCAAACGTACGTGGACGACCACTTGATGTGCGAGATCGAGGGCCACCATCTCACCGCGGCGGCGATCGTCGGCCAGGACGGCAGCGTCTGGGCCCAGAGTGCATCCTTTCCCCAGGTCTTGCCCACTTTATTCCCCTTTTCTTGGTCTGATCTTGTTGGGTAATCGAGGAGTTTGTCGTTGCACTTGATCTGATCGGGATTTGTTTCATCACCGATGTGGTCTTCCGTGACACGATCTAATTGGATTTGTAGTGTGAATCACGCAATTCGGCAATATTCATTGAGATGCCTGTTTGATGATGAAAAATTTATCTTACATTTGGAGCTTTTTAGTCCCTATGATTCGGCAACTCTTCAAAGATCTGTTCATTTCGTGCTACCCTCTGAAATTTGCAGATGATCTTATTGTTGAATACTCTGGTTTTGCTCCGTGACTTAAATTTGTCTTAGATTTTCCCAAAAATTGTAGCTTTTTAGTCTCTAGTATTCGATGACTCTTCAACATCTGTTCTTTTTTTGTGTTCTCGTGTAAAATTTTCACATGTTCATATTGTTGAATACTGTGATTTTTGCGAAGTATTTTTCTTGAAATTTCTCGCATGAAAAGATCTTATATATTGAGTAATTTTGCTTGTGTACAGTATGATCTTGGTAAAGCTAAGCAGATCTATCTCCAATCACATTAAGTTCATGTTGCAACTTATTGAAAGAATAGTGTTGGTGATTGACACAAAATGGCAGTTTCCATTTCCAGGATTGTCCAACATAATTATCAAAATATGATTTTGTTCATAATTAAAGTAGTTGTATGCTTGACATCCTATTGTCCTAATTGATTTGGCATGCACTACTGATATCCTAGCTTATCTTGCCAGTTTTAATTGCATTCTCAAGATTGTGAATTAGATTTTCATTTCTTATTTGATAATGCTGCCTTGTGCTAATTCTTTGTTGCTTCATCAGGATAATCTGTAAGTAGTGCTGCTAATGTCTAATGTTTAATCCATGATACCTTCTCTTATTTATTGTCAATTTTCAGTTTAAATCTGAGGAAATCACCAACATAATAAATGATTTTAATGAACCTGGAACGCTTGCCCCAATCGGTTTATTCCTTGGGTCAACAAAGTACATGGTCATCCAAGGAGAGTCTGGAGCTGTAATCCGTGGAAAGAAGGTAACATTTTTCTTTCTTAACATGTTTATATTGAATACATTCTTGGCTTCATAGGATAATGATAATTTCTGAAATTTATTATACACAGGTAAAATCATTTGTCCAAGAACATTCATTCATATTCCTACTTTTATATTCTTTGTAACGTCATATTTAGTACTAAAGAGTTAAAAAGGTTATTCATATCCAAGAGGCATATTTTAGGTCCATATGTCGAGAGGAGAAATTAAGGATATGGCTAACCCACCATATTAAAGACTGTAGTTTTGCTTATTTTAAGAAGGTTTCAGATTCTAAAACAATGATTTTGCTATCAATGGCAGGGATCAGGAGGCATCACTGTGAAGAAGACTAACCAAGCTATGATCTTTGGCATTTATGATGAGCCAATGACTCCAGGACAGTGCAACATGGTGGTGGAGAGGTTGGGTGACTACCTCATTGATCAGGGCCTGTAGTTCCCGATGCTATTATGATTCATCAGCACATGCCTTCTCCCTGCCAATGGAAACCACCACACATTTTCTTCATTCCATCAATCTTTCAGCATAATTATAGGGTAATAATTCGGCAAACAGACAGCAAATACCATAGTCCATGTTTGAGGAGTTGTTTCCCATCTTGTTCTCTCAGATCAAACCCCATATGATGATAACTTGGGTTTGTGTTCTTGATTTTTGTTGTCCTTGTTGTCTTTCTTTATCAATAAGCTATTCCTTGAATAGGTTTGATATGTAGTATATGTCTGTCGATGAGTTGATGATGCAAAGGATTAATGCTGACTCCTACCAATCAAATGGTACCTCATCATTGGAAAATAATTTGATTATATTATCAGAGTTCTAAAGTTCCATATTCAAATTACTCGATACTGATCAAGTACCAGCTATACTCCCTGTCTAAACCTCATAGAAACATAATGATCACTGCGTCTAAATTGTTATATGTATGTATATACATAGATATATATATACATACATACATATATACATATATATATACATAACATACATATATACATATATACATAACATACATATATATATATATATATAT